GTGTGGCTGGGCTGGTGGGCCCAGGTCACGCTCTGAGCAAACTTGTACCCCAGCCTGGACCCTGAGACCGGAGCCCGAGCAGCCTCGGGGCCGTCACTGGGGAGGGAGGCCGGCAGTGGGGAGCAGGAACCCGAGCCTGAATGGACCCTTGTCCTCGACAGTTTGAGATGCTGACGGGCTCCCTGCCCTTCCAGGGGAAGGACCGGAAGGACACCATGACGCTGATTCTGAAGTAAGCCCCAGCCCGGCCCATGCCTGCCTCAGGTTCAGGTCCCCTCCTCAGTGGGACCTCCCCTGGGCTAAGCGCCCGGCTTCCCAGAGCCCCCTTCCATCTGCCAGGCCTGTGGGAGGGAGGGGTCCCCTGAAGCCTTTGCGGGGAGGTTAGTTAGTGGTTGGCTTGTCTGGGCTGAGAGACCCAGGGGGGACGGGGCCTCTGGGTGGGGCTCAGCCCTCACGCGCCCCTGGGGCTGTTTCAGGGCGAAGCTAGGCATGCCCCAGTTTCTGAGCACAGAGGCCCAGAGCCTCCTGCGGGCCCTGTTCAAGCGGAACCCTGCCAACCGGCTCGGTAAGCAGCCCCGACCCAGGGGAGGTGACGTGGGGAGCAGGGTACAGCTGCAGCCCCGGCCACGGGGCCATGTCTGGGCTGAAAGGGGCCGTTGTCCTTTGTGTGGGTAGACAATGCCGCTGACCACCCCGCTTTCTGGCTCCATGTGTGGCATTGTTTGAGGGGGGGGGTGTGACCTGTGTGTAGTGGTGGCGGGGGAGCAGGAACTGAGTCATCCCCACAACCCCTGGGGACAAGGACAGAGGCCCCTCCACAGCTTCTCTGCCAAGGCTGCTGGTACAAGAGAGATGCCGTCAGCTCAGGAGTCAGAAGGCCCAGGTCCCCCGGCTGGCACACAGGAAGTGCCGCCAGAACCCACTGCCAGTGTCGACTCTGAGTCATAGTGCCCCACAGGGCAGCGCAGAAGGGCCTCACAGGGTTCCAAAGCCGCCTCCTGTCTTTCTCCGACTGCGCGGCTGCTGCTGGGTCTGTGCTGCCCGCCTTTGGGTTAGCCACCCCACCCTTAGCCCCCCGGGCCACCAGAGACACGCAGTAAGCCTCCCCAAGTACTTGTCCAGTGAGTGAGCGCCCCTTCTGAACTCGCTTGCTTGGGTTTCTGACTGAGGGTCACGTAGGACGGTGGCGTCACCTGAGCTCGGCCTGCTTTGTCGCTGTGGCACGCCAGCATGCAGGCGGTGCTGGTCACATGAACCTGCGTGGACGGGCCTGGCAAGTCGGGGCACAGGAACTGCTGGTGCCCCTGGCTCCTGGGCTCCCAGGCCCAAGCCCCTGGTGGAAAGGGCAAGGGAGAAGTACAGTGGTGATTCTGTCGGGTTGGCTGTGGGGAGAGGTGGGGCAGTCCCCTGGAGAGCTCAGAACCAGTCTGGCCCCTATCCTCACTCTGCAGCCTTGGACAAGTTGCCTAACCTCTCTGGGCCTTTTATTTTTCCCCGTCATATGTTGGTACCCGATGGTAAGGGACTCCAGAGAGTAGAAAAAGCTGAATGGGCAGCAGTACGTAGGGTGATCGCTGAGCAAATGTCGAGCCAGGCAATCCCTTCCTCCCTCTGGGCTCCAGCCACTGGGACCTTGGCAGGCAGGGCAGTGCCCATCCCATCCGTGGGCAACCCCTCATCTGGACTCTTGCAGGCTCCGGCCCTGACGGGGCAGAGGAGATTAAGCGGCACGTCTTCTACTCCACCATTGACTGGAACGTGAGTAGTTGTCCACTCCAGGGAGCTGGCCAGGCTTCAGTGGGGTCATGAAGGGTTTGGGGGGCGGGGTGCCTCTGCTAACGAGGGCTTTGGAGGCGGGAGCAAAAGGTGACAGCATGGCCTTCGAGGCCAGGGCCGGCCTCCTGGAGGGTGCGATGGGGCCCTGGCTGCTGGCATGGTTAGCCTGTCTCTAGACCCATCGCCTCTTCCCACCGGGGCTCCTGGCTAGCTGGGGGGATGAGCAGGTGGTGGTGGGCCTGCCTGAGGTGACGTGAGCACTGCCGTGTCTTGCAGAAGCTGTACCGTCGGGAGATCAAGCCACCCTTCAAGCCAGCTGTGGCTCAGCCGGATGACACCTTCTACTTTGACACCGAGTTCACATCCCGCACGCCCCGGGGTGTGTCCTTTGTGGTGGTCTGTGTGGGGCCGGTACGGGGCGGGGGAAGCAGGGACATAGGACTGGTAAGACTCGGGCAGGCGCCGTGTGTGGGCAGGCTCTGAAGGACTTAGCTGTTTGTCCTGGCTTCCCCCTGGCAGGCTCTCCCACTGAGGGCCTCTGTGGGTTTCTTTGTGCCTGAGTGAGGGCGTGGGGTGAGTGAGTGGGTGAGTGAGGCCGCAACAGAAAAGTCAGGACCCCTGCCCTGGGCTGCTTCCAGCCCACTGGGAAGACGAAACACTTCAGACCCACACTCGTCGGCCCAAGGAATCTGACCCTGCAGACAGCTCGGGGGAGGCAGAGTGGCAGCCTGGAGCCAGGGGTGACCCCCCACAGGTCAGGGGCCAGCGCAGGACTCAGCTTTGGCTATCCTGAGCGCTGGGCCTTCGTGTGCTCATCTGGAACATGGGCACAGCCACAGACCCGCTCATGTCCTGGCTTTGCCGTGGGAAGCCACTGCAGGAGCTTCTGGAAGGGAGCTGGCCGAGTCCTGACGTGTCCAGCCTGCACGTCCTGTGAGTCCAGGTGTCGGCAGAAAGCGTGTGCTTTCACTTCCTCGTCTTTACCTCCATTACCCGGGAGCTAGCTCAGTGCTGACCTGCAGTCCTTTATCTGCGAGCTCTGTTGGGGGTGTCCCGGTGTGTGGGGCTGGGAGAGTAAAGCAGACCCTGCTCCTGGGGTTCGGGCGGCAGTGGAGGACAGCTCCCGGGCAGCGTGGCCGCTGCAGCTCCATGGGGCCAGGGGCCAGGCCAGGTTGCTCTGAGCCGTGGTGGGTGGACCACAGCATGAGGTCAGCAGGGGCCAGGTCACGAGGAGGTGGGTTTATCGAGGGGGCAGAAGGGTGCGTTGGAAGGTGCCAGCATTGGTGCCTGGAACCGTCACGTTGGCTGCCGAGCGGAGGACACCGGCAAGGTGGTGCCTGCGGGAGGTGAGCGGCTGGGCCTGTGCTGGAGG